CGCGGCTTTGCTCCGTGTCTCCCTGGTCTGCTGAGGGGGGCCCCCCCAACAGACCAGGGAGATGCGGAGCAGCTTTTCTCACCACAGAGGACGTGGGCGGCGGGACTGTGGCGCGTCTGGGCGGTCCTGCCACCTGCGTCCTCCGCGGCGAGAAAAGCCCCGTTCGTAAGTAGGGATCCGACGCAAGTCGGATCCACGTAACTCGGGGACTGCCTGTAATCCATACAAACAAAATGTATAAATCCTGTAACAAGGAATACATTACTGAAAGACCAAATCTGAAAAATATGCGGCATTCAGCAACTCCCATTGTTCTTAATGGAAGTTACTGGGTGCTGCACATTTTTGTAGATCTAGCATAGAAGGTACTATGAAGAGGAACAGAATGACATGTCACTACTGAAGACCAAACACTAAAATGAATTAGCCTGACACAAAACACATTACAAATGTTTTGATTTGATTTTTACACAATACAGATTTAAACCTATGTAAAAGTCATTTTTTAAAAATTGATACAAACTCACTTCCTACTTATCTGCAGTGCTCTGTTCGTGCTATAGCACTGAAAAAGTAGCTCAGCTAATTGGGCACAATTTCGTGTGTACGAAAAAAACTAAATTCTAGTTAGTTTAAATACTAAACATCTTTTACATTAATCTGTTTTAAAATGCTGTACATGTAGTCATTTCTAAGCATACAATGTTCACAACACTCAAATAAGTAATTTCCTACTCCAAAGATGAGATGCTAAAAATGAACAACAGTGAAGACTGAGTAGCATTCTTTTCTCCTGGTAAGTGTTGCCTACACTGATATACTGATTACATCTAATTTCTGCAATAGAAAAAACTTCAAGAAATTTTAATGTAGAAAAAAAGAATCATCCAGAAGAGAGATTAAAGAATGTAACTGCATTTACATTCTGAAAAAAATATTTTACCCTGACCTACAGATACTTACCAAAGGTGCAGCTCTGGTTGGCTCCAAACTAGGCCTAGGTGCTGTTGAGTACATGTAGTTAAACAGTCGATCTATTTTTCTCAGAGGGACGCCACCTCCCTGATCACTTATCTACACAAAAAAAAAAAAAAAATTATCAAGGTTTACTTAAACTCTTATCTGCTCAGAAACAGAAAATTCATATCATCAAACAAACAAAGCATGATGTAAATCACTTATATAAACACTGATGCAAATTGAATGAGTGCAAGAACCTATATGGAGTACATAGTTTAGTGTTTGCAAAATTAAAGATCAATTTCTTGAAAACATTACTAACATGAGTATTTCTTTGAAAATCAGCTCAATAGGTTAAAAATATTATTAGTTTACCTTTATGGATAGATCTTCTTTTCCCAAAGTGACTAATGTTTTAATTGATGGATAGCCTTCTTTCCTACCTTCATGTAATTCCACTGTAGCTCTCATTGAGTTCTAAAGTTAAAACAGTATGTTTTAGATTCTGATTTATTGTCTCTCTCAATGTTACCATATTTTTGGTAACAATATACAAATCAATATGTTTTCACTATGTTATTCTGAAAAAAATCTTCTGAATAAAACTGCCCTAAATTTGTATATATAAATACAGAAAAGCATATATACTTGAGTGAACTGAAGATGTGCTTGCCAGCAAGTCAAATGTCAAATTATTACATTTTTATATTGTAATACTTCACTGAAATTAACTGAATATCTCTGTTGAACACAATGCCAGAAAGCACAAGACAATACAGCAGAACATCAGAGTTATGAATACCAGAGTTACAAACTTACTAATCAACCATACCCCTCATTTGGAACTGGGAGAAAGACCAACCCTCCCCCCCCAAAAAGAACCAACACCATACAAACCTCAAAAAACAAAAACAAAAACAAAAACAACAACAACAATACAGCCCAGGCGGCGGCTTTGCTCTGGTGTCCCTGGTCTGCTGGGGGGGGGGGGTCCAGCGGCTTTGCTGGACCCCCCAGCAGACCAGGGGGACAGGAGCAAAGCCGCAGAGCACACCCGCAGCGGGACAGCCGCGGCGCGCCTGGACTGTCCTGCTGCAGTCGTGCTCCGCGTCTTTGCTCCGGGTCTCCCAGGTCAGCAGACCAGGGAGACGGAGCAAAGCCGTGGAGGACTTGGGCGGTCCCGCCACCCCCGTCTCCCTGGTCTGCTGGG